CTAACCTTCGAAATGTTCTTCATCCATAATTTGATTCTTAAAGCTTTCATTCCTCGTATATAACAGGAAAATTCACAGAACTGTTTATAAAATATCAACTTGAACGCCATATGTAATCATGTGAGACTTGCTCTTGACGCCAGTAACCCCTCAAATGGAGTTAGATTCACTAACCCCCCTTACGTGGTGTTACTTTTGAATACTGATTAGCTTGCGAATGCCTGTAACCCCTCAAAGGGTATTATTTTAACTCCAGTTATGGAGTTAAAAGAGCTCAAATTTTTAACTCCCGTATTACCCCTCTAGAATCCCTTCAAAGTGGTGTTAAAATAACACCCCGAAAATAACAGTGTATATATATATATATATATATATATATATATATATATATATATATATATATATATATATATATATATATATATATATATACAGGGTGTATCAAAATAATTCGAATCCAAATTTGACAGACTGCTGTTTATAAAATACTAAAGTAAACCACATAATTTTTATATGGCAATAAAGAATAGCCTATTAGGTTTCCGATTATATCGTTCTTGTATCAATAAGATCAAAAATGACCAAGAAATCGTGTGTAAAACTGGTTGCTCGAAATCAAATTTTTCCGCCGATGGGAATTCGAAGTGAGACGTACAAACAAAAGATAATGCAAATTTAATTAATCAACAAACTGTTATGTAGCAAAATTTACATAAATTCATGTTCATTTAAAGAGATTTAAGCTCCTATGCTTTCAACATGTTGAACGAGAAGAAATTCGCGTTAAACTTGCATTTTAGTTTTCAGTGATGATTAGCATTTCAAAGCCTTGTGGGACTAACTTTGAAAGAAAAAATGTCCAATTCCCATCGGCGGAAAATTGTGATTTTTATGGACTTTTTTTGTCAAAGTTTCCATTTGTCAATTTTCCAACTAAATGACGCGTACAACATGTCATTTGAAAGGTAAATAAATGAACTTAACAATGGTGTAAAAACCAACCGAATTTGTTAAATATATTCTGCGTTATTACACGCCAAATTTGGATTCGAATTATTTTGATACACACTGTATAGACCTAATAGACGACTATTTACAAGACTATACGTGACTATACAACGTTTATTGTAGAATACCCGTCCACTAGTCATTTTTCACTGCGCAGCTACATTTCCAGTGGCTACGCAGGCACGCGCTATCAAATTACAATATCAAGAAAGTATAACGGAAATACCTCTCTTTTGGTAATTAATTTTAGACCCAATTATACCACTGCGTAGCCACGTAGCCACTATTTTCAAAAACTCACTACGTAGCCGCATAGCCACGTAGCCACTAAAAAATATATCTTCCTTACAATTACGTCATTATATCAATGTCTCGTTCTTTTCAAAACTCACTGCGTAGCCGTGTAGCCACGTAGCCACTAAAAAATATATCTATACTTTAGTATGATTACGTCATTATGTCAATGCCTCGTTCTTTTAAAAACTTCGCCGTCACTGCGTAGCCACGTAGCCACCAATATTTCTAGCGGGTCTTCAAAAGTGGACGGGTATTCTGCAATCGCTCCCAACGTTATATACAAGAATACACGACACTATACAACACTATACGTCATTTCGATGTTTTCCTTCGTGGTTGAGTTAATAGTTATATACACTGTGCCTGTGAGCAGAGCCTTAATATCAAGTCTTCAACATTTTCACGTTTTTCTTCGTAAATCATAACAACATTTGCCAACTTTGAACATGTCAGCATCATTCTGTCATGATATTTAAACGGTCAATGTAAACTTATTACTAATAAGTAAACATTGTCAACACCGTATACTAATAAATTAAATTGGTTAAAACGTACCTGCAAAAATAATTTTTTAACGAAATTATTGTCTTTTATTTGTAAACTAATTATTGTTTTATATATTTTTCATCATGGCGGAAAGTACAGAGCGAGAGCTTTACGGCGACGTACGAGCATTTACCGACTGACAGAAATCCAAATTTCTTCTATATTTTGATTCAAGCTGCATCGTTATAACTCGGTCAAGGAAACTGGCACGAGTCATGTCAAAATCAGTTGTCATGATTAGTGTGCTGCCTACGGCAGCAATTAATGAAATATGATTAGCTCTTTAGAAGCTTTAAGTCCATGATTAAGTTCAGACTAACCACTCTACCGACTTGGCCTGTGGGAAGAAGCTGGAGTACCCGGAGAAAACCCACGACTTTCGGGCGTGTTGACAGACTCTTCACACATGAATCCGTACCGAGAATCGAACCCACGATCTCGGAGGTGAAAGGCGCTTGCTCTGATGCCTGCGCCATAAAAGCCCGAAAATTACTAGTATTGTACGTTTAAACAAAGAAACTCAGATAAAAATTAAGACGCTCTTGATAAATACGATTTTCCACCTCCCTCCATAATGTTGAGAAATAGTCCAGAATTAGTCACAGTCCTCCCCCCCCCCCTCCAAACACTAATGCCTTAGGCATAGGGTAACTTTGGCCAATCGTGTTTTAGTGGTTGTGACCTTAAAAAGTAATAATTTAGGTTTTTTACGCTATTCTGCTTCTCGTCCTTTTTTACGCAATTCCGCGTTTTATCCCCATTTGCGGAATCCGCGTTTTATCCTCAAATGCGGAATCCGCATTTTATCCTCATTTGCGGAATCCGCTACCGGAATCCGTGTTCTATCCTCAAATGCGGAATCCGCTTCCGGAATCCGCTTACGGAATCCGCATTCCGGTTCCGCGTTTTATCCCAACCCAATGGACCGCGCATATACACATCATATATTTCCTTGCCGGAAGTTATATACTGTTAGTAGAAATATCATCTAATTGCCGTATGTATCTCAATATTACCAGAAGTATCAGAGCAGCATTCTTTTTTCAAAGGTGGAACATTCAGATCAAAAATCACAAGTTATGGAATCTTTCGTAGTGGTGCATTCTGGGCAAGCGATCAGTGTCTTGTAAGTTGTCCAGTTATTTACGGCGGTCAATACGAAGCTACAGCAGGTTTTGCACAGCACAGTTGCAGCAGTGACATACAGAATAGTAGCCACATTGGGTTTTGGTGTGATTGGAGTAGTGGTGATGGTGCAGTGATGATGATTGGTGGAGGAGGAAGTGGTTGTGGCAGAGCAGATCATGGTATTGGAGTAACCGAGGAAAATGAAGCAAAGTTTGGTTCTGGACAAGGTTATGATTTTGGTAATAAAGCAGATAATGTTGTTCCTACAACATACTCGCTAAACTTGTGGGTTCGCTAATTAAATTCGTTTAGACATTAGTGCAAGAAACCTAAATATGCTAACCAATCTCATTAGACATTAGAATGAATTGCCAAAATTTAAAGCAAGCAGTTTGCGGTATATGACTGAGTATTTAATATGGCACATAAATTTTGAAATTTATTAGCTTCATTAAGAAAATTGTGATTTTGAAAATATGTTATAGTATACGTGGGATATAACAGACATTTTATTGGCTAATGCGCATAATTATATTGTGACGCAATAATGCACTGTGGTCTATGCCACTGCCTTGCTCTTTTGGTGTTTCCCCCCGCTTCATCTCAGCTTCTTAGTTAAAAATATAAACAAAACTATAGCTTTTTTAATGCAAAATTTATGAGAAAGCAAGAAGGAATAGACCAAAGGAGCAAAGCAATTTTATTTACAGTTGTACATGTAAAAACAGTAAAATAAACCGGCTTGGCATTCGTCGATCGAATTTGTTTTTGTCTCGAAAAGTTTTTGGCAAAAGCGAGCAAAATAGACGAGAAAAAAAACTTGAAAAAGATACAGGAATACAAAAAAAAACAACAAAAACTGAACACAAGTGATTTAGAAAGTACCTTCAATGCTTGTGATAAACATTTTCGGCGAAAGGCAAAAAATACAATAATTTTGAAAAATTTAAGCTGAGCAACACGACGAAACCCACGATTTAACGTCTTTCGTGGCAAGTCCAGCAGCTCAGATACTGAAACACATTAGCAAATTAGCTTGTGCATCACTGCTTTTATTTCCGGCATTTTAAAGAGTTTTTCCGTAACTTTAGCATCAAAATGTGATCAAGAATTTGTATTGTTTTCATTCCTTCGCCCGCGACAGTGAAGACAGTTTTCCACTTCAACCGTATCGTATCGTAACGTGCGGTAGCATTTTCTGTTGTGTCAAAGTCATTAGTTCCACACTAGTGGTTTGAAAACAAAGAAATACGCTACGTTTCGATACGATTGAAGTGGAAAACAGGCTTAGAAGCATGCGCGTGACGTCGCTGAGTACATGTTAGGAGAATTTTAATGTCGATCTTTTGAGTAAAATTGTTTACTATGTATTATAATATAACTGGGATATAACGTATAACTGACAATTTGATTGGCTAATGCGCGTGCATTGTGACGCAATAATGCACTGTGTTAGTGTGTTTCGTGGCAGTGCCTTGCTCTTTCTGTGTTTCCCCCGCTTCATCTCTGTTTTTAGCCAAAAATAAACAAAACTATAGAGCATTTAAAATAAAATGTATCAGAAAGCAGTCCAAGGAATAGACCAATTAAAGGAACCAAGCAATAATATCAATAGTTCTACTTCTAAAAACAGTATAAAAATAAATTAACCGTCGAATTTGTTTTTGTTTCGAAAAGGAAAAAGCGTGAAAAATAGTCGAGGAAAGAACTTGAAAAAGACACTGAAATACCAAAAACATAGAAAAAGGCAACGAAAACGTAACATAAGTCATTTAGAAAGCACCTTCAATTCTTCTGATAAAAACTGCCAGATATACTTTCGGCAAAAGGCAAAAAATACAATAATTCCAAAAATTAAAACTGAACAACACGACGAAACCTACGATTTAACGTCCTTCATGGCAAATCGATCCGGTAGCCCAAATGCTTAAAAATATTAGCAAATCAGTGTGACTATTACAGGACTTTTTCCCCAGAATTTTAAACAATTTCTCCCCAACTTAAGCATCAAAACTTTCTCAAAATTTTGTATTGTTTTTACTTCTTCGCTCGCTTGAAAACTCAAGCGACAGAAATCATGCGCGTGACGTCACCGAGTACATGTTAGGCTAATTTCAAACTTGATCTTTGGAGTAAAATTGTTTACCATGTAATATCTTCTATTTATATTATAAAAGAAATAGAAAAACTCGTCTCGTGCGTTTACGGTGTAATAATGCACTCGAGAAGCGTTTAAAACACACATCTCGTGTTTTACACACTTCTCTCGTATTCTCCCGACATTCCCCGTGTCCATTATCATACCATAAACGCACTCGACTCGTTTTCGATTTCTTAATATCGATCTAAAAAATGACTGCAAGTGAAGTTGCGCTTTAATATTTCTAGGATTTTAATATTCAATTTTCGGAAACTTGGGTTCTTTTTTGTCCATTTGTATCACCTGAGTTCCTATATATAAACCAAGGCACGGTCCTGTGCGATAATACAGTGCGTGATTCTTAAATGTATGGCAATTGCTTATACAGTATAATCAAATAAGGCGAAAAGTGGAGAGTTTGGTGAGTTCAGTGATGAGGAGTTATTGAGCACAATATCGTTGAAACCACATCCAAAACCACATCCAACGATTTTTCCGTGTTTTAAAGTATGTATGTATGTCTTTGAGTGAAGACCTTCTAACGATTATTTGCCGTGAAAGATTGAATGGCCAAAAACAATAATGAAGTCAGAAACATAATTTCCAAATAATACGTCGAGTCAGCGTTGCTTTATACCTAACGAAAGCTAGTTATTTTCTTGTCATATTTTAATGTTGGCATTCAACTTTTTTCGCAACTATAGTTATTTGTATATATAATATGTGTATGTGTGTGTATTAATACTTAGTTTAATACTTTTTTAATGTTTTTAAGATTTAAACATGCTCCCCATGGAAACCAGCCTAGAGTTGATGGGGCTAGCGTGTTCTAATGTACGGTAAATACTTTTAAAATGTACGGTAAATACTTTTATGTTTAATATGATTTACTTGTGTTTGCAATAATAAGGAAAATAAATTGGGCAGCGTTTCAGGTTGGATATATATATATACAGCTATTTCAATTAAGGTTGTCCACGAGCAAAGCGGAAAAGTCGAATACGAGCACGAAAGGCTGCTGGGAATCACTAACAAATTCATGAATTTTCAAAGCGATTCCAAGCACCCTTTCGCGCTCGTATACGACTTTTCCGCTTTGCTCGTGGACAACCTTAATTGAAATAGCTGTATATTTATTATATAGATATTAACTACAGCATATGAGCTATTCTGCAATTTGATTGGCTCTTCGGCTAGCAGGATATTAGCTAACATGTTATTCGTTTATTATTAATAGCATCAACAGGAATAAAAAACAACGAAAATACTTCCAGCAATTGTTCACAGGTTAGCAAATGGATTTTTAGTACTTGAATAACCTATAGGCCGTATTCTGTGGCACGATATCATTCAATTCCGTTGCCATGGTTCGGGCACTATAGCTACTTTGAAACAAGATAAATAATTAGGATAAATCATACAAAGTCCAAATCCGCTTGTTGGCACTTCTCAAAACCTGCAGTTTTCGAGTATTTCTTCTTCGAAAACGCAAGAAATCAACATCTTTCGCAATCAATCGCCGCCATTTTGTTCAGGATACTTGGTGTAATAATTAATAAACACTATAAATGGCAATTTTCGCGGGCTCACACTCGTTCTTACATGAAGTTTACAGCTTAGCATTTGTAAACATAGCGTCTTCTGAATATACAATTACTTTATGGTTTCCGTGTTTGGATGGCCTGATCCAAACACGCGGGAATGTTGCGAGAGTTAAGAAGTTTTGCCCGCTTTTCTTAACTCGAGCAACATTCCCAAGTGTTTGGATCAGTCCATCCAAACACGGAAACCATAAAGTAATGGTTTTATAAAATAACAACAACACGGTAGTCTTCCGTGTTTGGATGGCCTGATCCAAACACGGCTTTCGACCAATCAGAATACGCGTTATATACATGTTATTTTATAATCATGTTTACTTCATTTTGATGGGTAAAACGGTCCACTTACAAGTTTTAGTGCGGTTTTGTACCAAATATTTTTAGATTGTCGTAGAATTTGGCTAATGCTAGACAGGGACGAACGCAATGTTGCTCAAAGAAGTTTGCAATTTGTTAGCGACAGCATGCAAATTTCTCTTATCATCGAGGTTGTTACTCAGCATTCACAAATAGCAGTATGATCAAACGAGCTCAAGTGCATTGTCAGAATATGGACAGAAAATGTGTACCTTCATCCTCTGGTATAGATATTAATTAATAATGATGAAGAAGCGGAATCAGATGAAACTCTACCTGGCACCTGTAAAGATACTGTATAAATGCTGAGATCTAGATTCAGTAGATTGCATTGAGAACTCGACCAGACCGCGTAGCTCAGTTGGCAGAGCATTGGGCTAGTATTCCAAAGGTCATAGGTCTGATTCCCACCGTGGGCAGGCATATTTTCCAAGCTGCCCGGTGTGGATATGTACTCGGAGTAACATCGCAAATATGTGTTTTATAATTATATATTGATTGAATTCCCTTCAGCTGCACCTCTTATAACAGTTGTGTGATTTCTATGCATGGGTTTATTTAGAAGTCGAATAAGTGAAAAGCTGGACAAAATGGTGTCTGCGGAAACAGCAGATGGTGGTAAACTGAAAAAAACTGCAACAAAAAAGCTGGTGAAAGTATTTTTATTTAAATTGCTGATAAGGACCTAGTGGCTTGTAGCATTGAAAGTGAAATATCATAAACATTATTATGAAAGGCTTCCACAACTTCTTTTCCATGGACCAAAGGTACGAAACAAGAGTGAAATTGTTTATGCAGATTGGCTCAGTCAAGCAAGTGGAGCAGAAAGTGTTATGCATGATGTCATAGAATCGTCTCAGAATTCACAAGATTCTGAATCTGATGACATTGGAACGAAGACATCTATGTGCAGTACACAAGTGCAACACTGAAAGCAGTGCCTTTTTTAACTATATATCTGGGGAGGGGGTACAATTGCCCCCCCCCAGGGAAAAAAATTGCCCCCCCCCCAGCAAAGCCATTTCTGCCCCCGAAGTGCGAAGCAGAATTGCTGATTGCTGTCAGAATTGCAGTTGATTTACTTGATGATAATGAGATTATGCCCTTCCATAGCCTCCTCCACAGCCATCTTGT